AGGCCCCTTTACCACAAGCCCCGTCCCAGCTTCTCCTCTAATTAAAATCTCAACTTTTTTGCAATCAATAACCTCGTCCCCTCCCCTCCACTTGGGCTCGAGGAGCGGACTACCACCCTAGTCCACACCCGGCCCACCAACACCCTCCACCCGCCCCCACACCTCAGTCACTGCAATCTGTCGCGCAGCCCGGCCAAGCCGAGTTGTAATATTGCCCAGGAATGCCACCGCACAGCAGACCAGAGATTACCATCTCAAACCAAATGCTCATCCGCCAGGACGAGCAGCAACAACAGCATGAACATTGAAAAAAACAATAAAACAAACATAGCTGAGCCTCAGAAATTTAAACAGCTGCAACATGCTGCAATGGATTACCAGGATGCACGCAGCCAATGAACTGACTCACACTGCCCGGGCCAGAAAGGGACGTCTAAACTGCAGGAGACATTTGACTGGAAAATGAGTTAATGAATTCTTCGCGCAGTGAAGCCAATTAGTACTAGCGCAAGGGGCGACGATGAATACTGCATTTTCATATAACCGCGCATCTTTGCGTGCAACCGGAAGTCAGCACAGAAAATGGGCCAGTCAGAATATTGGCCAGTCCTGTAAATTCAGAACAACGCGAAGCGAGTAGTTCAGCATATAAAAAAGACAAAAATTCCGCCATGCTCTGTACGACTGTGCCCAACACAGCGCGTCTCGTCAACTTATCATACAAGTAACTGCCATTCCGGAAATAACTGCATTAAAATGAATAATTATGTCGTGATAATAAGAGCAATGATCATTATTATCATTATCAGTTCTTTACAACAGCAGCCGACAATTCGGGCAGAGCTTCAAAGCAGAGGTGAGGCTCAAAAAATGACCAATACAAAGAGCAACGGAGACTGCAGCATCCCTTGTGATACTGCAAAAATCATCCAAACGCCAAAAATCAAATCAGCAAAATCCCTGGCACTACCGCTCAGCAGTACTCCTTTGACACTGGCAAGCGCATTCATTTGCTAACAAGGTCCCACTCAACCTGCACACACATACACACAATCAGTGACACAAGTGTATACTTGCAACACGCACACATCACACAGACAAACGCATGCATGCACATATATTAACATATAAAAGCACATTAACATCTATTCAAGTACGCACAATTATCTGTATATATGATTGTATCTACTTTCATATATATGCATATGTAATCATGTACACACACACACACACACACACACACACACACACACACACACACACATGAATACACGCATATACATCATACACACAAAAGCGCATCTTCCTTTCCAGGGATTTGCACGTTTTAAACGCATGTGTTTCATCCGGATGAAGGCGACGACTGCGCATGCGAGTTGGCTGGAATCGTACCACTGAGCTGCAGTGAACTGATAAGATTATTCATTGCTCCAAAAAGGTTTTGTATTGTCTCTTCTGGCGCTCCTTCTTCAAGCGGGCCCGTTCTTCCAAAACTGCTTTCCTGTGCCGCCATCCCCGTAGTACGACGCGATAGTGCGGCATTGCGTCGCGATTTGCGAGAACGAAGGCGATTTTGACGTCCAGTTCGCGAGAACTCAAACCAAGACGACGGGCTCGATCGCTGTCCGGCCCTGAAATTAATTATCCTACTGGCTTAATTAATCTTCTTTTCATTCTCTTTCTCGCTCCCTCCCTCCCAGTTCAAAGATATAAGAAGTAGTTCCCTTTTGACCCCCCCCCCCCCCCCCC